TTTTGCGCACAAAAAGTATTCTCGTAGCTTCGTATAATTACGGATGAAACACTGATGTCACATGGATTATTTGACCGATCTCCTTGCTACGTCTCTGGACTTTTCAGTTGCGTTGCTGTCTATGCAGGGTCAGAGAGCTGTCAGATTCCATCAAAAATATCTTAATTTGTGTTCCGAAGATGAACGAAGGTGTTACGGGTTTGAAACGACATGAGGGTGAGTAATTAATGACAGAATTTTCATTTTTGGGTGAACTAACCCTTTAATATTGACCAAACATTTAATTCAAATATACACTTAAATCCTTCATTTTTGACCTTTGCAATAGAAATGCTACAGCCTCTATAATTTCTTCAACAAAAACATGTGGACATCACAACCCTTACAAAAATTAACCATGGTTTTATCGTAGTAAAACTGCTTAATTTTCTTTTGTGTGATTTCTGAATGCTCGAGACAATAAAATCAATCAGTATTAATAAAATCATAGCCATAGGTAACTGTCTAGAGTTACAACTGTAATTTATAAATAATACAACTGAATTACAATTTATTTTTTTATTTACTTTTATATGTTATTAAAGTTCAATTTTGACCCCTATAGGTGTTTTTTTTACTTCCATAATATTTGAGGGAGGGGGCACAACAATACAATTCTGCTTAAGACACCCATTTGGCCAGCACCAGTTCAGAAATATGTGTTGAATCACATAAATGCAATCCAAGAACACAATGTACAGGAAACATGCATTTCTTTTCTTCTCATCTTTTGCATTTCTTATTTTATTTATTTCAGATATTATCAACATTGTTTTGCAGTAACACTTCTCATGTTCTGAATTCTGTTTTACAGTTTATCTCAAATAAGGAATGTGGGACATTGAGGACTAAATAGTCAGCAAGCATGTTTTCTTGCCCAAAATACTGACAGAAGCCAAAAGCAGAAGAGATTTCAGCAAAATACTGCTGTCTGTATGTAAGGCATCTGTGTATGTGAACTCAACAATACGAGCTTCTCACTTCTACAGCTATATACTTAGGCCTTTATAGTAAATGTAATTGTATCAAAGATTATTTCTTTTTGTCAATGTATTGAAGTTTATTTGTCATTGTACATTCTTTTTGTTTGCTCTTCTAATATGCTTCAACTTCATTTATTTAGTCCTGGTTTTTCCTTAATTAGCTGCCCATTGGTCTGTATACGGCCTCTGTTAATTAGCCAATCACTGCAGCCATGTACTAATGGGTCCTGATGTATAAATGCTTGTGCTGATGCACAGTAGAGAGAGACTCTGAACCTACTTCCATGTTCGTGTGGTGTGTGTGCGCGCGTATACATGAGCAATGTAAGTTTGTTTCTTTTGTTTGACTTTGTAGCCTTAGTATGGTTCATTTGATTTAATCTGTTGTATTTTTGTTCTTGTTTTAGAGACCACACACAAGCACATACCCTGCTCCTCTGTGCTCTGCCGCCTTTGGTGGATAAATAAAGTGGTCATATGGCATTGTATTACTGGACTCTGTGTTCTTGTAGACACCCCTGCTGGACTCAAGCCAGACATTCCCTAAATCCTAAACTCCTTTACAGTAATACCGTATACATTTATTAATTTGACAGATTCATCATAGAGACTATAAACACGAGAAGTGCTAGTAGCCAACATTTCAGATATGGTTAGAACAAGGACAAATTAAAGAATTTTTTTATTTTATTTTTTCAACAAACTATGGCTTGTTGTTTTTTTATGGGAATATGTGCTGTTTTGTACATTAAGAGTCTTTCACAGAGTTGTCATCTGCAGTATCTGTACTGAAACTGTCTGCATTAGGGTGGCCCTTATTGGGGGGTACTTTTTTTTTTTTTTTTTTTTTTTTTTTTAAATGTTAACCTCACACCCCCTTATTGGTTACTACACTAGAAGTTAGTAATGTATGCAAAATTCCATCCAGATAATTTGTCATTTAGGGTGTGCTCAAAGAATGTATCTTTTTATCAGCAGGTACTTCAAGAGCTGATGGTTAGAGAGTCAGACTTGTAAACTGAAGGTCATGGGTTCGAGTCTCAGTACCAGCAGGGATTGTAGGTGGGGGCAGTGAATGACCAGCGCTCTCTTCCACCCTCAATACCCCAACTGAGGTGCCCTTGAGGAAGACACCGAACCCCAAACTGCTCCAGATGGTGCTGGAGCAAATGGCTGCCCACTGCTCCAGGTGTGTGTACACGGTTTGTGTGCGAGTTGTTGACTACTCACTGCTGTATGTGTGCACTTTGATGGGTTAAATGCAGAGCACAAATTCTGAGTATGAGTTACCATACTTGGCAACATGTCATGACAATGGCAGAACACTCTTAACTTCTTCATTACGAGTGTTCGTTCCTAAGTCCGCGAGCTGGGACTCGAACACGGGACGCCTGCACTGTCCACAAGGCTATCGGCGCCAATGTCATGTAACATTTTATCTGTGTTCTCGTTTTTAAAACAATTCACAGTTTACTAATGGTTTTGCATAATTATTAATTACGTGCTGTTATTGTCATTAAGACTATATGAAGAATTTCAACTTTGTTAAGCACACCTAAACGTAGTCCAATCTCAGCAAAATTTGATTTGTTTCCATTTCTCATTAAGGAGAGTTGACTGGGAGGGTGAGGGCAGAAGATTTCAAAAGGTCTAAAATAAGGGCCTCCCTAGTCTGCATGTGTTGTCATGTCAATTATCTGAAAGTCTCAGGCTGAAACTGAAGCCGCTTCTGCCACCTAGTGGAGCAGATGGAAAGTGCACATCAGTTCCTATGATTACGAGAAGTAACACTCGCCACCAGAGGACACCAAAGTGATATTTTATGTGCTTGCAAATAGTAATAGTGATTTTAATAAGACCATATATTTTGAAAAGCGTTTTTTTTTTTATTATTATAATGGGAACTTTATTTGTAAATTCCAACTTCCACAATTTCGTAAACATTAGAATTCTGAATATCAAATTTGTTATTCATAAATGCTGATTAACCACAATTTTGTAAACTTTACAATTCTGAATGTCAAGTTCTTTGACATAATTCTGAATGTCGAATACTTTATTCATAAATGTTGAACATCCATGATTTCGTCAACTTTATATTCTGAGTGGCAAATTCTTTATTCATAAATGCTGAATATTATTCATATAAAGCCTTTTACAAAGAAGGACATTCAGCATTTATAACAAACTTGCTCTTTCAATGCCTGTTTCTATATAATATTGTTTGCAGAGTTACATAATGGTAATTTTTTTTTAAATTACAAGTTCAAAAGTCAAATTTGTTGTCCAGAATAACATTTAAAATAAAATAAAATATTTAAAAAAATTCAGAAAATTTAATTGATTTTTCATTTCATGCAGACTTGAATCCTTGGGTAAAAATCTTGAAACTTGTCAGGAAAAAAAAGTGAGATTTTACCCATTTTTTCCATTTTAATTTCAAAAGATAAATTATTTATTTGCGAGATTGTCAAATGTCAGTCCAACAGACAGTCCAATGTCATCTCTTTTGTTCTCTAGCAAAGACCGAGTTTTGCAAAGCAAGCCTGATGACTCTGGGTGTGAAATTGGAAGCGACACAATCTGTAAGTAATTTAATCAAACATTTAAATAAGGCATTTTTCTTCCAGACGTATCAGACTGGGAGTTCCTCATGCCTGCTTTCATATCAGCTTCAGTTTAAATTATTTCAGTTTATAAATTATTTGGACTTATTAAATAATAATAATAATAATAATAATTATTATTATTATTAGCAATTGTAACCTATTCCTTTTGCAGAGACATTTTAATTAAGCTAAAGTACATGTCTTAAAACACACTTGATAATTAAAGATTTAATGAAGAATAAAAGTAGAAATAGTAATATATTTGAATCGGAAATAAAAGACATTGGTGTAATAAAATACATAATAAATTAAGCAGGACTGTATTATAGGTATTATTGTTGTAAATAATGTTTAGTTTCTTGCACACACTGATCGTTTCACTTGAAAAGACCTCAATATATCACCAGGAGTCACAGATATGTTTGACTCTCAAAGTGACGGTAGCCACTGACTTGCATTTTATGAATTACCAAGGACCATGATTTCAGATAAAAATCTTTTTTACTGTTCTACTGAAGAAAAAAAGTCCCCTACATCTTGAATGGCCTGAGGGTGGGTAAATTAACAGCAAATTTTCAATTTTGGCTGAACTATCCTATCCACGAGGCGATGCCCCTGATCTCTCCTGACGGTGATTCAGTGTTTGTGAAGTCGGAGGAATAATGAAGAGATTCAGTTGCATTCGGTGCAGTGGATGACAGCATGCCGTTATTGGCGTAAACAAACTGACCGTCATTATTCAGCGCAACGGCCTGATGGAGAAGAAACAGTTGTTCAGCAGATCTTCTCCACTCATTTTGCTGTCTTTAATGTCTTTTAGAATGAATTACTCACTGTTTCAGTCAGAGTGAGTC